AAAAAAAAAAAAAAAAAAACATATGGAGTGAAGAAAGAAGGCTGAATCAAAGTCCCCTAACTTTTCTATGGTGACTGGAAGGGTGTGTGGGAAATATGTAAGGAATTGCAAGCACATTGGAGGTGTGCAATAGGTATGGATACTGTGCATTATAAATATCAAAGTCTGAATTTGATCATCCTTGTAACCATGAATTAAGAGACACAGCTGCCTACTGGTCATGCCAACTCTCTTGATTCAAAACTTGAGTGATTAGGAACAAAGTGTGACCCACAGTAACATTATGAGGTGAGCGTTGGTATATGCAGCATTCCAATGCGAGTACAGGCTGCCAATGACACATCCTCATGTCACAGGCTGCAAATTACATGACACTGTTCTCACAGGCCACCAATAACATGACCTTGATGACTTGGAAGGCTGCACTGGAGCTAATTAGGTATATTGCATGTGGGGACAATAAATATGATGACAGGAGGAAAAAGAACAAGTTGCTGAGGGATGAGCTGATCACTTTGCTGTTGCTCCTTCACTGTACAAAACAGAGTCTGGTGTACAGTAACAGTGGTAGAGAACAGTCGGGTCATCAACCTGTGTGTGCAAATTTAAGAACTGAAAAGGCAAAAATATATAGACATTAGAAAGTGAAACAGCTTTCTTAACTGTTTGTCAGATGTTCAGCTTTAATTCACATAAACATATATGCATAAACTATTTATACTTCTTACAGAGCCATTCAACAATCTGACAATGGGCAACTTACTTTAAAAAGCCTTTCATTTCGGTTGGTTCCACATGCTGCAGGACAATAGTGTCTTCAGTGGCCTTTCTTGTAACAAACGTAAAGAATTTTGGAGTTCTTGCCTGGAGAACAGCCTTGTGTGCTTTAAATGTTGTCTGCCCAACATGGAGATTGAGATCTGTGTGGATTTCTTCATTTAGAAGCCTGCAAAAAAAGTACGGTATGTTAAAGTGTCCGTAAACCAAACAATGAACTTCTCTTATTTGCTCCCTTTAGTCTGGTAAATATACCATGTAATGCATTTTATTATACCGGTTTGATAAGCACACACCAAAAAAAGAAAAAAAACTGTTAGGGCCATAGCATATGTGCTTGGACTGTGCTGGTCGTTTCCAGTGCAGCCCAAAACACAATACAAGGCTATTGCAGAACTTTTTTAATTTTCATTTATTTAAATTTAAGCACAGCACAGTGAAACATGGTACAATTGCATCACACCGTGTGGCCATAGAGCTTAAAAGAGAACTATGGGGTAACCTTTTTATCCTCTATACTGAGTGTTCCTGTTCATTCATAACCTGTGGAGATAGTGTTTACCATGTCCACAATCATGAATGAACAGGAAGTGATGTGGAGCACTTCCTGCTCATTCATAATTGGGGACACAGTAAACATACTATGTCCTCAATTATTTACATGCAGTCAGCGATCACACCGCTCTCCATCCTGATGTGCCTGTCACATGAGGCTGAGCGGGGCGGTGCAGTAGGAGAGCTCGGCCTCCTGTGACACGCTCACAGCGCTCTCCTCCCTGCCCAGCCTCCAGTTTCTCTCCTCCCCGCTTGACGCTGCGCTGTGTCAGAGGGGACACAGATCAGCGCCCATTGGGGAGGAGAGAAACGAGAGATGCACCGCAATTTCGGCCACAAATTGTTACTTTCGACATTTTGTCAAAAGCGCAATTTTCGGCAGCTGAAATTTCAGTGCATCCTTAGTCTGTATTGTTTTAGAAAAATGGTCACATGACAACATGTGTCAACGGACCAAAAAATGTATCAGTAATTGTATCTGTGAGTACTTGGTCTGGAAAAAGATGGTATTGTGTAGCCCTAATTATATATCCCAAATCATACACTAAAACAGGGATGCTCAAATCGCAGGAGCCCCGTATGCTTCTTAAAAAAATCAAAAAAAAAAATCACAGCTGCCTCTTAACTTTTTCTCTAGTCTAGTCTCGGAGCTAGAAAAGTATCTGTACTTGTACTGAGTACGGTACTTGGTATCTGAACATTTCTACTTGAAGATAAAGTCCTCTTCCTGTCAGCCCCTTGCTGGTCAAACAAAATTAGCTGCAAAAATATAAAGAAGTTACCAAAGAAAAAGATTTAAAAATACTTACTTTGGTCCTAGCTTCCAAGGCCGATGTCACTGCTGCCTCCTGGAATAGCTGGACACTCAAAATCCTGCAAGAATGCATTCGTGTGGGATTTCAAGTGTCCAAGTGGAAGCAGTGAGGCACAGTGACATCACCTGCACTTCTGGAAAACGTCAGATGCCAGGCCCAATCTAATGCATAGTCCACCTTTTGAAATATATTATATGATACACCCATATTAAGGGTGCAACATGAAACATGGTTGCATCCCCCACCGCACATACCCGAATGAAGTCCTAGCTTTGCTTGAAATTAGCATGACTGTGCCTGGTTCTGCCACACAGAAGCGTTATCCATTGACAGTCATCTGTAATTGGGAAGACTATAAGTTCAATCTGCTCCCGTGGCAGATCACAGACTTCAACGCAATTGAAGTCCATTGTTACTTCCTCCGGTCCCTAAACCTAAGGTATGTACCTCTATACGAACCTGGGTTTGTAAACAAAAGAGCCTAAGCATTGCACATGCGACACACTGATCGCAGTTACCATGCGTTTACTCTGTATTTTTTATATTTGTAATGTTGGTGCATTTATTACATTTTTGCTAAAAAGTAGACTATGTCTTCTTGAGTTTTTATTTTTATTTTACAGCCAATTCTGTTTTGGCAGCTGGGGGCTGGCAGGAAAGCAGACCTTCTATTTGCATGGTGTTTTAAAGGGAATCTGTAACACATTCTCTTGACATGACAGGTCAAAGCAACCCAAAAAACAAATGATGGTTGCTGCACTCCATTTGTCTGCTTGGGGTCACAGACACTTGTAGTACTTCCTGACTCTGGGGAACGTGTAACCTTCTCCCCTTACTCCCAGGATGCAGTGCCTGGACCGAAGCAGTCAGTCACCAGGTACAAACACGGTCACATGGGGTAGGAAAGAAAGTTCTTCATTTTGTGCAACCTCAGAGAACATTTTACACAGGGATTAGCTCAACGGCAGCAGATCTCCAGAGGGTGGCAGAGGCCTGCACAGAGAAGATCTTCTTGTTATGATTGAATAGATGGTGGCTGCCTCTCTGTAGAGACATCAGGTCCATAGAAGTGTGTCTGCACATTACCTGAGCAGATCTCTGCTGAGCTGGTCACACAGAACATCTCTGAGCCTGCACCGCTCCGCACTTTCCTTGGCACGAAAAGACTTCAGCTCTCCCTGGGCAGCAGATGCCATCTCCAAAGACTGCAGGAAGGACACATCACACAGGCAGTGATCCCGGAAACATGACATCATTCATCATTAGTCTACAGCTAGTCCCAATGGTGTGTATACAAACATGAGGTGACATTCTGCATCTCTATAGCTCCATAGCAGCACACTCATCATCAACAGGTTGCTTCCATCCCCTCCCACAAAGGAGGGAGGCCGCACAGTTACCCAGGGGAGGCCAGTTATGGAGGAGTGCAGTACAGCCCGGCCAGCTAAGGAGGGGTGCCGTATATTACAGAATGCCAGCCCGGTGCAAGGAATAGGTTAGCAATGGAAGAGTGCCATACATTACAACATGCCAGTTCAGAGGAGTGTGTCGGCCAGCTACAGGGGAGTGCGGTACATCACAGCATGCCAGCCCAGGTGCAGCTCCGCACACACAGGACGGTGCCCGGTAAACGACAAAAAGTGGAGCGCCAGTAGCACCTTGGACTTTGTTTTCGAACCCAAACTCCAGCCCGACTGGATGACGTCGTAGCCGGAAGTACCGCCCCTAAACATCGCGCAGACCAATAGAAAGCGCTTAATTGGCCGGTCCTGTAATCTCATTGGTAAGCTGAGAGCAGGTGGCTGTGAGGGCGGGAAAGATGCATGTATTAACTCTCCAATGGCCAGGCAGCTGCTTCAGAATTTACCATTTGCACGTTCCGTTCCGTTAAAGCTGAAGTGAACTCCAGGCACAAAAACCTTCATTGAGGGATTGTTTACACCATAGCATTGGATGTATCTGTGTATTCGGTGTGTGCTATCACACAGTGCACCTAGCATGTGGTACCGTGCACTTATGCATTGCATTGCCATTCATTCGAATAGCACTCTAATGCAACTTCTGGCGTTATCGCAATACCTCGCATTGCAGTGTGGTGGAAAAATAGGTCAACAGTCTACATGCAAAGCATGTATACAAGACCAGCCACCCTGCACAAGGAGAGAGAGCAGCAGAGACTGGCCTTTATTACAGGAAGCTAGGGTTGCCACCTTTTCTTCAAGCGAAACCCGAAACACTAGCGCCGCACAGCAATTTTTTTTGAGAATATACAGGAGAGAAAGGAGATGCAGCCAGGGGAGAGCGCGAGGAGAGACAGCCAGGAGACAAAGCAAGGAGAGACCGCCCGGAGAGAGAGCAAGGAGAGACAGCCAGGAGAGAGGGAGCAAAGAGAGACAGTGAATAGAGATAGCCAGGATGGAGCAAGGAGAGAGAGCCAGGGGAAAGCGCAGAGGGAGAGACAGGCAGGAGAAAGAGAGGGGAGATAGCCCGGAGAGGGCAGAGAGACAGGGAGGAGAGAGCGAAGAGATAGCCTAGAGGGAGCAAGGAGAGATATCCGAGAGAGAGTGGGCAGAGACAGCCAGGAGAGAGTGCGAGGAGAGATAGCTGAAAGATGCAACCAGGGGAGAGAGTGAGGAATGAAAGCTAAGAGAGAGAGAGCGAGCAAGGAGAGACAGCCAAGGGAGAGAGTGAGGAGAGACAGCCAAGGGAGAGAGTGAGGAGAGAGAGCCAGGGAAGAGAATTAGGAGAGAGAATGAGGAGAGACAGCCAGGGGAGAAAGCGAGAAGTGACAGCCAAGAGAGAGAGCAAGGAGACACAGTGAGGGGAGAGAACAAGGAGTGACATCCAGTAGAGAGAGCTAGGTGAGACAGCCAGGAGAGAGAGCGAGGAGAGACAGCCAAGGGAAAGAGGGAATCCTGGGCAATTGGCAACCTTACAAGTCAGCATGTGTGTCTCTCTTCCCTTACAAAAGATAACTGTAGTAAAACTGCAGTACAATGAAGTAAAACTGCAGAAAATTAAGAACAACTGCAGGTTTGCAATATAATGAAGTATAAAAACAGTACAACTGTAGTACAGTAATACCTTGGTTTACAAGTAACTTGGTTTGAGAGCGTTTTGCAAGACAAGCAAACATTTCTGAAAAATTTTGCTTTGATATACAAGCAAATGTCTTGCAATAAGAGCAAAATTTTGTAGAAAAGCACCACCAAATAAGGCTGTAGCAGTGCGAGCGATGAGTCTGTTTAACGACAATGCAATGTCACATTGAACAGATTCCTTGTTAAGGTTTCACGAAATGAAAAAGATTACATTGAGCCAAGAGATAGCAGTGATTCTGTTAGTGATAGTGAAAGTTGTCCTACACAATAATCCTCCTCTCTCTTGTCCCTCTCACACCGGCCACAAAAGGTACCGGTAATTGGTTTATTTTTCTTTATATTTTATACGTTATTATATTACAGTACAGTATTGTAATAATTTTATATGAATATTTTTGGGATGTGGAACGAATCATCTGAATTTCCATTATTTCCTATGGGGAAACTCGCTTTGATATACAAGCGCTTTGGATTACAAGCATGCTTCCGGAACGAATTATGCTCGTAAACCAAGGTATTACTGTATATTGAAGTACAACTGCGGTAAAACTGTTGTACAAAAAAAGTACGTCTGCGGTAAAATGAAGTACAGCTGTAGGTTTGCACTATAATAAAGTATAGCTGCAGTTCAGTGATAAACTACTGCACTTTGTACCTACTGCACTCACACTACATAGTACTGCAGTTATGGTGTATGTGCAACATGTAGCCAGTGCTGTGGTTACACTACTACTCTACAGCAAGTAAAAGCTATGGATAGCCACTGCTATGCAACACATGGTTATTCACTAAAGGGTAAAGAGTTTGGAAAAGGCAGGAGAAGTGAACAATCTAGGACAACATAGCTGAACTGGAAAGTGAGGTGTATTGGAGAATTTTTCCAAATCAGCTATTTTAGCCTAGATTGTTCACTTCTCCTGTCTTCTCCAATCTCTTCACCCTTTTGTCAATAACCCTGTTTGAAATACTTCAGCTGTACTGCAGTTGTATTACGGTTGTATTTTAGATGTACTGCAGTAATACCTCAGCTGTATTGCAGTAATACTGCAGTTGGACGGCAATATTGCAGTTTTTTGTGTCCGAAAAACTGCAATTTTGTTATGCATGTAACAAAAATTGCAGTATTGTTGAAGAGTTTAGTGCATGGTGTCAGTCAATAATGTCCTGGCTCTGTTAATGTAATCCAATAGTGCCGCACATACAACAGATGGTCAGATAAAGCGCTGCACAAACTGTTGGCGCTGTATAAATCCTGTATAACAATAATAATAATATGACTCTTCAGTATGATAGCAGAGGTGTGTCGGGTACACAGGAGGAATAGACGGGCTCCATATGGATGGACTCCCAGGCTGCCTTCTACGCACTCATCTTGAACAAAGTCTTAACGGTGAAGAAAACTCCTCAGTCTTCCTTTAGACTGCTGCATCCTCTGCTTATGCTGCTACTTCATGTCATCTGCTACAAAGTGTCACCCCGAGTGTCATCAACACCTTCCACCCGGCCAGTTTGCTGTTTACCAGCGCCATCCTCCCAGGGCCTTACATCACACGTGGATAGTATACACAATAATATGGCGAGAGTCTGGTGGCCGGTATCTAGGGATTACCGCTTCATGGAGCTGAGCCCGTCCGGGTGAGCGGAAGTGTGCTCTATGAACGTCCACCAGAACAGAGCTGTCCACACATTACTATAATGAGATGTACTTCCTGCTGTACTGACACACAGCGAACAGCTACACCTACCAGCCAGAGTCCCACCTCCTGCACTGCACGCTACAGGTAGAAGGGCGCCCCTTCTTCTCTATACACACTGACCTTGTTTCTGGTAACACCAGGACCCCACGGTTTCCCCATTAACCTGACACCGTGACATCTTATGTCTGGGTTTCAGCTGGCCTGAAACCTGCACACAGCACATACAGGGCTCAAAACCCTGACAGGTGGCAACCCTACAGGAAGGTCCTGCACAGAGACAAAGCATCACACTGGATTTAGGGTTGCCACTTGTCCAGGATTCACCTGGACAGTTCGGGTTTTGAATGCTGTGTCCGGTTTTCATGGCAGCAGAAACCCGGACACAAGATGTCAAGCAGACAGGGGCAACCAAAATTAATATAGAGGCTACTGGTCCCCCACTGTACAGTCTCGACTGTGATATTTACATATGAATAAGCCACAACTCCAGAAAAATGTCTACGCGTCGCTAGAGTGTTCGGGTTTTGCTTGAAGAAAAGGTGGCAAAAGTAACTGGATTACTACACAGATCTGGAAGAAATTCACAAAGCACACCAAGGTTCATGGAAAAATACACATTACCCTTAGAAATATTTGCTTACCCTGGAGTTCAGATAATGTGTACACTCACTCAAATCCTGTATAAGCTTTAATGTAATTTACAAAGTAATTTTTGATCGTTTTAAATCAGCAGCATTTATTAAAATAATTCCTGGTGATCCAGATATGAAGGTTCTTCAGGCAATTCCTCTTATATTGTGATAACGATCTGTACTTGACTTTCCATCATGCTCCTGTGCTGTCACTCTGTCATGGCTTCTGATGGAGACTGTAAGTGGTCATTTCAACACACATTGCAAGGGCATGACTGGTCCACTGTTGTCACAATTAGGAAACCCCCTTAGGCTCCATTCAGACAGGAGCGGTTGTCCGCACATATTCGGCTGGCAGAATACTTGCGGAGCCACTCTAAACAGAAAAAACAATGCACTTTAATTGCCGCAAAATAGTACAAGTGCAATTTTTTTGACTGATATACGTGGCTATATAATGGCTGCAAACGAGCGGAATCCGCGCGGGCGAAAAATGTTAGCATTTGCATTGCCACGCAGTCTTCCTGCACAGGAAGCCTTGCGGCAAATACAAAACCTATATGTGAATGGAGCCTCGTAGTGACACTAAACTCAGAAGTTAAACCTTAAAAATGCATTCAATTATCTTAACTAATAACAAAACTGTATCTGATTTGTGTATCACTCATCGGTAGATCCTCAAATCATCTCGGAATTCTTACTGACACTGTCCTTCCTTCTGGAGGGTGGCTACTTTTGTTCCCCATGGTCGCTGTGTGTGTTGTAAAGTAGCCACCGCTCCAAGCTCACTCCTGTGATGGAATAAAATCTCAATACAAATGAGTAAACTAAATGTGGGATTGTAGTATATCGTGGGAGTGTCACATTAGCAGACCAAGAGGAATTTCTCACAAAGTTTCTACCAGTCTTCCCACATCTGTAAAGACTGAGGCAGG